AATTTATACTTACTACATAGTTGTATGTATGTATGTATGTATGTGTGTATATCTTCACTAAATATCAATATTTGCTTACAAGCCTACGTCTGTCTCCATTTAATTGCATAAGCGATTTGCTAATCGCATTGAATAACAAGTTTTTGTTGAATTTGATTGATTGATTAATTTGCTATTTACTAAGTGATTCAGTCTATGTACAATAAACGTATGCACACACACATGTACATACATATTTACTTACAATAGCTACTACCTACATATACTCGTACTCAAATAAAATACTAAACTTAACTAATTAGTTTCTCTTTTCTGTTCTCTTGTTGCAGGAACAAGTTAAACTTGATGCCACCAAACAGGTGACCAGTCCAGATGATTTCGAAGATCTCAGTCCAATGCCACATACGGCTGCTCCACCGGTACGCCGACGTGGTGGCATATCAGCGGAACCTGTTACCGAAGAGGACGCCACAAGCTATGTGAAGAAAGTTGTACCCAAGGATTACAAAACAATGGCTGCGTTATCTAAGGCTATTGCCAAAAACGTCCTATTCTCGCATTTGGATGAAAATGAACGTTCCGACATTTTCGACGCAATGTTTCCAGTGACGCATTTAATGGGTGAAAATATCATTCAACAAGGTGATGAAGGTGATAATTTCTATGTTATTGACCACGGTGAGGTTGAGGTGAGTATGAGCGCCGTTTAATGAATCGGTAGCGGAACCATTGTACATATATGTATGCAAACAACAACAAAACGATTTCATTATTTTTACTCTATAGGTATTTGTTAATTCTGAATTGGTGACAACAATTGGCGAAGGTGGTAGCTTTGGTGAATTGGCGCTCATCTATGGTACACCACGTGCAGCTACCGTACGAGCTAAAACCGATGTCAAGCTATGGGGCATCGATCGTGATTCTTATCGACGAATTTTGATGGGTTCTACTATACGCAAAAGGAAAATGTACGAAGAATTTTTGTCGCGTGTGTCAATTTTGGGTGAGTTGCTGTTTATAGTTTTAAATGCAAATATATTCTTGTTTCAGTGGCAGTTCTCATGACATATGTGTGTATATTTCTTGAATTTCACAGAGAGTCTTGATAAATGGGAGCGTCTCACTATAGCTGATGCACTGGAACCAGTCTCATTCGAAGATGGTGAAACAATTGTTAAACAAGGTGAACCGGGTGATGATTTCTACATTATCTTGGATGGTACCGCTGTTGTACTTCAACGACGAGCTGAGGTAAGAATTGAGGTGTTGTATACTTAATTAATTATTATTACTAATCGAATTGATTTTTTTTTTACTTACAGCAAGGGGATGAGCCCGCCGAGGTTGGACGTTTAAGTCCAAGTGACTACTTCGGTGAAATTGCTTTGCTGTTAGATCGCCCCAGAGCAGCTACTGTGGTTGCAAGAGGTCCCTTAAAATGTGTTAAATTGGATAGAGCGAGGTAAGAATAGTGCAATTTTAAAAAATCAAAAGACATACGTATTGGTAGCTCTTATTAGCTAAGGGAAAGAATTTCTAAAAAAAAATGAAGCACCAGTTTTCAGAGTAATAAAAATATTGTTTTCAAATATTCAACTCTCGCATTTTTGCGTAATTAAAGCATAGATTTGCATGTGATACTTTAAATTAAATTAACGCACTCAGTGATACTTGCTCGGTCGAAGGCAGTTTTCTCTAAAGACAAAGCAAACGGGGGTTTTTTTTTAAGATAAGCAGGAAAATCCTTGATCTGCCATTTATTGTGTTTGCTATTTGCCTATCCGCCCTTGCTTATGCCTGAGCAGAAGACACACATTAAAACCATATATCGAGAGAAAAGATATGGCTTTATGGGAAATCCACTGAAACCTTGCTCGCGAAGTTATAGGTTTTTTGGTCAACAACTAACTTCCTTTTACAAAGGTAAAACGACATTGCAGCTGCTTTAGAACAGGGGTGCTCAACAAATTTAACTTACTGAGCCAAACGAGAATAACGCCAATAAAACTTAAAACAACCTCGTTCTCGGAATAGCAAAAAATACTTCAGCCCAAAGCTATGTATGTATATATTGTTACCTCAATTCACAAATCTTTTTTCGAAACTGCGTTTTTCACAAATTTTGTTAGGATGTATTAAAATACAGCTTGATTAAAATTTTTAGAGCGCTAGTACCAAAAATAACGGGAGTTACATGCCACTTTTTAACCGACTACCTGTTTCTAACCGACTTCACAAAGAGGAGAAGGTTATCAATTCATCGGAGTTTTTTTTATGTATGTAACCGCATAACTTTGGACCATGTTAACCGATTTCTATAATTCTTTTTTAAAGGAAAGGTGTTACTTCAGAGGTGATCCCGTACTAATGGTTTAAATCCGATCATTGGATCATGAAGAAATTAACGATGATCTTAAATTTTTGATATGAGAATTGAAGTTGGTTTTGTTTTTTGCTTAAAAATTACTTGTTAATACTCCCATTATAATGTTTTTTGCTTCTCCTGTAAAATAAAATAACTTGTTAGTTGGGGCCTTTGTGAATTAAGGTAGCCCAACCCTGCTTTAAAACAACCGCACATTTCATAAATGCCGTGCATTACTTTTGCACGCAATTTTTTTTTGTAAGAAACTTAATATTATTAATTTACATTGCATAAATATTGGGTCATATGAATACTATCCGCGGATATTTGGGTAAATTTTTAGAAAAAAAATTGTCTTACTGCCATTTTCATAGTGGTAAGTTTACTCAAATTCGGACGTGTGTCAAGTTAGCACTACACTTTTCGAATTTGGAAAAGTTAAC